ATCGGGCGATGTGTTAAGCAGCGTTACATTGCATAGCTCATGCTTTACATACAGTATCTCGTTTAGGCCTCATGACAGCTCTGTGCAGCGGGTATTTCTATCCCTTCGCATTCCTTGTAGAAGAACTGGGGCTTGGAGAAGTTTAGCAACGTACCCAAGTGATAGAGGCTGGACTCAAACCCAGGGTTTGTTACTCAGTTCATGGTAACACCAGCCACGCAGTTGCTCAGGACAAGAATGATCCTAGATTCCTTCTTTTCCTTCACCCTCACATACACTCTCAACAAGTCCTCTGGACCTTATCTCCTACATATGCCCCAAATCTGGCCACCTTTTTTATTTTGTCTCCACAACGCCAGCTTCGTCTTCTCCCACATGGGCCCTTGCCTGGAACACTGCAGCAGCCTCTTAAGCTGGTCTTCTTTTCCATTCCATTTCATAATGTTGAAATGACATTTTTAAAATCTAAATTAGAGCCTATCGTTTCTTTGTTTAAAACTCGCACTCACTGCTCAATTGCCGTAAGAAAAATGTAACGTTTACCATGGCCCAGGAAAGGCTATGTGCTTGAGCTCCTGCTGCCTCTCTCATCTCATGCCCTGTCTTCCTCCCTGTCCTTCAGACTCAGCAAGCTCCTTCCAGTCTTTGCACCAGGTCCCCCGCCGGAGAATGCTCTTCCCCAGGTCTTTGATTGGCTCCTTCTTATTCAGGTCTCTGCTCAACTATCACTCCTCCAAAAGACCTTTTCTGATCACCCCAGCCCACCCCATTCCTAAGTTTTATTTTCATCACTGCCTCCCTTCCTTTTCTGTCTCATTCAGGGTTGTGTTTCTAATGCCTAGAAGAGTACCTGGAACAGAGTAGATGCTCAGTCCGTACTCTGAATGAATGGCAAACAGAAGCTATTCCATGCCTGGAAAGCTCTGGCACCCCTACCTACCTCCTCCTGTCCCCTTCACGTATTTAACTCTGGAGCATCCTTCAGTTCTGGCTCAAACATTTCCTTGGGGAAGTTTTCTGTGACCCTGTGTTACATCCTTTAATAGAAATCTATACTTTTCCTGAATGGCCCTCATCACACATTTTTGTGATTATTTTATTAAAGTCCGTCTTCCTAGCCTGACCATAAGCTCCATGAGGGCAGCAGGTGCCCAGCATATGGCACATCCATTTGTTAGTGGGTGAATGAAGGAATGAATCGCTTTTTTGCAACATCGTGGTCCACACTTGACACATCTGTGCCGCAAATGAATGAGGAAGAAGTCCCTTAGTGCCTATGACTCCCTCAGGAATCTCATCAGGATGTTAATAGAGACAGACGGTGGGGATAGGAAAGAAATCTTGGGACTCTTTCGACCCATAACACTGAGCAAGTGGCCCGTGTTCTCCTGCCCCAAATGCCTTTTCAATGCTGCCTTTAGGTTTTACGTCTTACATCTATCCACAGACACTCCCGTGAGAGTGGAGCCCAGGAGCGCCCTCAGTTCACTTCACTGATGTCCACTTTTTGTCATGAATTCCAGTAAAACATTGTTTTTTAAAATGAGGCTCACCTGTGTATAATTTTGATCTGTTATTGTCAACCCTGGTAGACCTAACAATAGATGAGTATTGTTTAGTTCAAAAATTCAAATCCTTGTTTTATCACTGAATGATTTTGAACAAAGCTTTTCACTTCAATTACTGACTTGCTCTCCACATGTCCAAAGGGCCAAAGGCTCAGAGCATAAAGATTCAGCTCAACAGTGTGACCCCAAAACCCACTGCGGAGCCGGTGGGATCAGGAATCCAACGCTAGTTACTCATTTATCTTGTTGAAGCTCAGACTTCATGGATTTCCTTTCTCACCATTCCTCTTTCCCTACACTACTAACCCTTACAGAGATAACTAAAGCTTAGAAATATTGTTTTTAAAGAAACATTTCTGCCGAAACCGGTTTGGCTCAGTGGATAGAGCACATGTGTCAAACACAAGGCCCGCGGGCCAAATCCGTCCCGCCAGGCCTTGCAATGTGGCCCGCACTGCGCTGTCATCACTGCACTCCGCTGCGTTTCCATCACAATGACAGTTTATGACTGTTCAGTAAACCATTCGGCCCGCGATTTAGGCTGGATTTTAGATTTTGGCCCCTTCTCTGATTGAGTTCGACACCCCTAGGATAGAGTGTCGGTCTGTGGACTGAAAGGTCCCAGATTCGATTCCGGTCAAGGGCATGTACCTTGGTTGTGGGCGCATCCCTGGTAGGGGGTGTGCAGGAGGCAGCTGGTCAGTGTTTCTCTCTCATCAATGTTTCTAGCTCTCTATCCCTCTCCCTTCCTCTCTGTAAAAAAAATTAATAAAATATATATATTTTTAAAAAGAAAATTTTCTTCCTAAAAATAGCCTAATTCTAAAAAAGAAACTTAAATAGCTTTTACTTTATAGGATATATATATATATATTTTCTATATCAGGCAAGGAAGTCAGAGTTCTAATTGTGTACATTTGAAATATTTGCTTAGTTGTTAGACCATATTGTTTCTCAGCAGGATACCACAAAAGCCATTATCCTACTAATGATTACCTTGAGCTAATGCATTAATCACAAGGCTTTCTTCATATGCTGAAGCTTTGTCTAACTGCGATAGCATCCAAGTGTTATGGCCAGGAATTTTTTAGTTTATGTGAGTGTAAGCAGAATTGTCTTGAAGTCTAAACCAGACACAGACACAGGTGTGGTTTCTTCCTCTTCTTCTTCTTTTTTTGGTAATATTTTTAGCTGATATCCTGGCACTTGACAGAGTCATTCACACTATAGTCCATCGGCTATCCCTCTTGGCTCAGGGAATTGTTCATTTGTCCATTAATATATGCTAAAATGTCACATTAGAAACTCCTCCACCTGGATTTTTTTTTTTTTTAACCCTCACCCAAGGATATGTTTATTGATTTGAGAGAGAGAGGAAGGGAGAAAGAGAGGAACATCAATCAGTTGCCTCCTGTACATGCTCCCACCGACCAGGGATGGAACCTGCACACTAGGTATGTGTGGAGCCTAAACCTTTTTGGTGTACGGGACAGGGCTCCAACCAGCTGACCCACATGGCTGGGGCTGTACCCGGCTTCTTGTCTCCAGGGAGCCACTCCTTGCCCCTTGTCATCCCCAGCACCAGCCAATTTCCTTTATCCTGCGTGTCTACTTAGTTCCCTTTCTGCTAGAACTCCCAGCTCCCTGGCATAAACATCTCAAGGTCGTATTTGTAAAAAATTCCAAAGAGCTGCCTTGATTCTGTTGTTGCGCTGGAATTACCACCATTAAGGTCTCATATATGTATTGTGTGCTCCTCCTAGGACTTCGAACGCTTTATCACATTTGATTGTTTGCGTGTCCTCTGAGTGTATCCTCATTCAGCAGATGAGGCTGCTGTGGCTCACAGGAGCTAGATGATTTGTCCAAGTGTTGGAGCTAAAACCTACATCACCCGCCTCCAGCTTTCCCACCAGGCTCTGGTCCCACTCAACAACATATTTTTGAAAGAGTGGTTGAATTCAGAAGCTGGGAAGTGATTTTTCTGAAGGATATTTTGTTGTGGTGGTTGTAAAGGGATTTATTTGGGAAGGGACCTTTGTCTATAATCTAAAAACATATAAAATTAGCTTTATAGTTTATTGTTGTTTTTTAAATATAATTTTATTGATTTCAGAAGGGAAGGTAGAGGGAGGAGAGATAGAAACATCAATGATAAGAGAGAATAATTGATGGGCTGCCTCCTGTGTGCCCTACACTGGGGATCGATCAGCAGTGCCCTGACCAGGAATTAAGAGGTGGCCTCCTGGTGCATAGGTTGATGCTCAATCACTGGCCATGCCGGCTGGGCTGTTTGTCTCTTTTTTCTTTTTAAAAAAATATATTTTATTGAGTTTTTACAGAGAGGAAAGGAGAGGGATAGAGAACCAGAAACATCGATGAGAGAGAAACATCGATCAGCTGCCTCCTGCACACTCCCCACCAGGGATGTGCCTGCAACCAAGGCACATACCCCCGACTGGAATTGAACCCAGGACCTTTCAGTCCACAGGCTGACGCTCTATCCACTGAGCCAAACCGATTTCAGCTGTTTGTTTCTTTTTTAAGGTTCAGGCAGTGAATACTAGCTGGTAGTATCACTGTATCATTTGTTTCTTGAGAGTTCAAGATTCATTCCTGAGGGTTTAAAAGAGATGGGGCCTTGCTGTGTTGCCCAGGCTGGGATGCAGTGGCATTCACTGGCACAAGCCCAGTACTGATCAGCACAGGCGTATTGACCTGCTTCGTTTCCAGCCTGGGGAAGTTCACTTCTAGGCAACCTGGTGGTCCCCTGCTCCCTGGAGGTCACCATATTGTTGGCCAACTTAGCACAGATACCCAATTGGCATAGCGCGCTACAGCCCAGAACTCTTGGGCTCAAGTGATCTTCCTGCCTCAGCTTCCAGTAGCTGGGACTACAAGTGTGCACCGCCAGGCCCTGCTATAGTTTGTTCTTGAATTCAAACCCATCTGGCATTTTGATCCATTCATATTTATGGAGCACCCATTACAGGCTGGGCACCAGAGTTAGGATGGGAACAAGACATGATCCCTGCCATAACATGATCCCTGCCATAAGGAATCTAGGGAGGAGACGAATAAATGGGCAATTGCAATATTTTAATAAATACCTGGGTAGGGGATGTGCCGGTGGGATGGTGGCAGGAACATCTAACCCAAAATTGACAATGGGGAAGGCTTCCCAGACGTGACTTTTAGTTTGCATACTGAAGGATAAGAGTTTTAGCCAGATTGGGTTGGGATTGGGATGGGGTTGGGTGGGCAGTAAGGTTTCAAGAAGGTGGGAAACAGTGTGAAGGCTTAAAGGTGAGCATGTGGTCATGTTGCCTCAGTTCTTGCTCATTAGGTCAGATTTCATGATTTGGCTCTTGGGGAGACATGGAAAAGCCATGGGGAGAGCTCAGAAGATGCCTGTCTCTTATGTCTTAACAGAAAAAACTCGAGTCTCCACCCCCATCTACCAATCCTTTCCTGGAAGATGAGTCAACACCAGAGATGGAAGAACTGGCCATGGAGAAAGGAGATTCAGATCAAGTAAGTCTGGTTTCCACTTCCACTTGCATCCTACCTAGTGCTTGTACCTGAAAATGGGTTTGCTCGCTCTATATATGATCCTCTGGCTGTCGACCACATTCAGAGATTACAGCTTCGGTGGTCTTTACAGAGAGCCATTATCTGAAAGTGTATTTAGAAAACTGAGTGAAACAGCAGCCCTTCCTGCCCTGCCTCTCTGCTCCCAAAAGCCTCACCACCGGAATTAGCCACACACACAAGCTTAATCTGCCCTCCTCAGTCATCAGCTCCTGAACTTGTCAGCTCAGCTTCCCCTTGTGCTCTGATCTGGTCCGGTGAGGACATGAAAGGCCGAAAGGTCCTCAGCAGGGTTACGCCATCCGCTGGGTTGGCCCCCGCTCAGGGTAAGCCGATCGCTGGAGGCCTGGAAGCCATTGGGAGGCCTGGAAACTTCACGGTGACCCAGTGGCGTATTTGGAGTTACTTTTCCCAGAACGCTAGCATTTCCTTTGGATTTTTCTGTCCAACTCTAAATTTCCTCTCTCTTCATCCTACAAGAACTGTGTTTTTGTTTCACTGCCATTTTATGACAAGAAGGGTTTAGAGCAATAAATCAGAACTTTTTCTGTCTGGATTAGTGATCCTTCCTTTTAATTTTCTACCTTTGGCTTCTAAAGAATTATTTTAAGAGTATTGGTTTGGTCCAGACATCAGAAAAGGAAGGCTGGCTAGGAAGACTAGCTCTGGGAAGCCTAGCCACACTCTTTGCAGCTCACCCTGTATTTCCAGCATGGTGAGGGCGGTGTGCAGTCCTGGCAGGAGCCAGGAGGGCAGAATTTCCAGGGGCTGTTCTGAAGTGATGCAATAAAATGTGTCTGGTCCATTGATTAAATCATTATAACAACATGGATACCTCACATTTTTATGGTGCTTTATAGTTTAAAAGCCTTTCACATGCTTTATTTCATTTTATCTTCAGAGTGCCCATCTCTCGTTTTATATGACTTTATATGAGCTGCAATGCCTGCAGCTCCGAAAGGTTAAGTGACTTGCCGGGGTTGCCTAGTCTGGAAGTGGAGGAGCTAGGACTGGAAGCCAGGCCTAGAAGTCAGAGACTAGGATTCCTTTCTTGGCACTTTTATTACCCTGTGATGTCTCAATGAAAAGTAGAGGACATAGGAATTATTCCCATGAATAAAAATGAATGAATAAAACTGAAGGGTCCCTTCAGGCTGTATCCCAGAGATCTATAGGATTAAATGAAATTGATTTAAAGCCATCCTATCAGCCAGCGTGGGGAGGAAAACAAGATTTCTGGTAACATTTTGAGAGGAAGGACCGGATGGGAAGGAGGAAGCTGTATGCAGAACTCATTCTTCTGGTGTATATCCTCCACCCACCCTGGGTGCCATGTCGCTCAGTGCTGGTGGCTGCCATTGTCATGTCCAGGACTGTGTGGTTGAATACTCAGCTGTAGTACTGCTGTGAAAAGTTATCTCTTCAGCTAGTCATCTCTGGATGTGATTAAACTGGATTAGGATACAATTCCCCATTTCCTACAAAATTAAACCCGATTTTTATTATTTCTTATGAAACTTTTTGCTCATTCCGGAAGCTCAAGGTTATTGTAATAATGACCAAGACCTGCTCATTCTAAGGACAGAGAACCCAGACTCATGTGGTAAAGCAGAGTCCTGTGGTAGGGAAAGTGCCAGTCTGGTCTGTCATCTGACCACATGACCTTCAGTAGATTTTTAAAATAGATATATTTTTATGGATTTCAGAGAGGAGAGGGAGAGAGAGAGATAGATACATCAATGATGAGAGAGAATCATTGATCGGCTGCCTCCTTCACGCCCCACACGGGGATGGAGCCTGCAACCCGGGCATGTGCCCTGACGGGGAACCGAACTATGACCTAGTTCATAGGTTAATGCTTAACCACTGAGCTAGAGTTTTACTTTCTCCAGACTTCCCTGGTTTTGTGATCTTTAGAAAGAGCTCATTGCTTTCGGACTGCTTCCTGAGGGCCCCCAGCAGGTATCACTGTGGGGAGTTGGGAGGAGACCAAGTCACCTCCAAACAAAGGAGTCCTTTTATGAGCCACTTTTATCGTGGACTTCCAGGTGAAATTTCCTTTGATCCAGGGGCTTAATGTGTTTAAAAATAAAGTACTAAAAAATCCCCAGACTAGATTATCCACTTGCAATTTCACAGCCTATTGCTTCTTAGTAATAAAACTTACACACCAGTGATGAATGCCTCCTCACATATCGTCCCCGACCTTGCAGGCCTCGCCAGCACTTGTCTTGCTTGTGATTGATTAAGTGGGAGCGCCAGGATCTTCCTCCTCGCAGCCACTTCCTGTGGCTTCCAGTTGGGTGCACAGGAGCCCGCGGAGTACTGGGGGGGAAGTCCACAGTTTGCTGTGGCGAGCTTAGCCGGAGGTGGTGGGGGAAGGTTACCCTGGGTCACCCAACCCACCGGGGCACTGCAGTCAGTGGACAGTGTGCCCCCATGGTAAGGCTCATTGCTGCTCACTGCCACCGTTCAGGTTATGGTGAAAGGAGAATGAACTTGAAAAGAGGCATTTAGTTCGAACAGGCAGTTGCCAGCATATTCCGAATGATAAAAATAAAATGGCATATGAAAAGAGAATGAGGGTACTCAGAGTCTAAAAGAAAGAGGCAGAAGAAATAAGGAATTTCTGGTTAAAAATGTCCCCTTCTGGTGATCCGAGCAGTAAGACTTAATCTGTTTACATTGGATAGCAATAAAAGGAAATGGGGCCAGCTGCAGACCTCCTTACTGTGACAACAGTAACCTTTTATTATTCCATCAGACTCCAGGAGGAAATAGCTTCCACATCTGCAGCTTTTGGACAGAATTCACACACTCAGAAAGCCAGCCTGCGTGCTACTGCTAAATGACTTAGTGGATGCTTTGAGCCGAGAACCAATCCTTTGGGGAGCTGGACGGTGCAAAAGGAGACACCAGCTTAGGCTGAAATTCCAGCTCCTATTATCTATTGTAAATGTGAGCACAGCCATGGGCAGGAGGCAGCCCCGTGGAAAGAAAGGAAAGTTCAGGCCATCTCTCCTATTGTCCTCTTCTCCCATCTCACACTGAGAGCACTGCAGGAGGACCGAGCGCGGTGGTGGCAGGTCTCTGTTCTCACTGCCAGGAGCGGCATTAGTGGGCAGAGGCTGGGCAGAGCAGATCGCCTGCGGGTGGGGTGGGGACGCCCGCTCGGTCTGATTATGCCACTCTCCGAGTGCCAAACTCAGAGTGTGCTGTGGGGCTCGTCCAGCACAGGGCCCGAGGAAGGCTGGTCGGGATGAGTGTGCTGGAACGCCATGTAGCCATTTTCTTCCATCATTTAGAATCTGTATTTTTTACCGAATGGCTTCTTCAGACTTAGAGATTTTTATCATGTCATCTTCATGCATGCATAAAAAGGAACACAAGCCAAAAATAGAGTAAGATATTCCTAAAACTTCTTCACATTCAGAGTCCATCTCTCTTCTCTCTCCTGAACCACTTTTTATTTTTGTTTATTTATTTAATATATTTTATTGATTTTTTTTACAGAGAGGAAGGGAGAGGGAGAGAGTCAGAAACATCGATGAAAGAGAAACCTCGACCAGCTGCCTTCTGCACACTCCCCACCAGGGATGTGCCCGCAACCAATGTACATGCCCTTGACCGTAATTGAACCTGTGACCCTTCAGTCCGTAGACCAACGCTCTATCCACTGAGCCAGACTAGTTTCGGCCTGAACCACTTTTTAGAAACCTTTATTTGGGGATAATTATATATACATTCACAAGAAGTTGCAGAGAACCCATGTCCCATCTCCCAGCCTCCCCCAGTGGTGACAATTAACACAGGGCATTATCAGACTGGGGGATTGATCTTACGCCCTTGTTTGCACTGGCATGGGTTTCTGTATGCTCCCACACATCAGTGTCCTCTGTGCCAGCCAGAAGGTTGGCAGGGGCCATTCCTTAAGACTGCTCCCCAGCTGTCTCTGGGATGTTCTGCCAGGCCATTGGCACCCATCTCCCATGTCTTCTATTTTATTTCACTTAAAAAAAAATAATGTCAAAGTTAGAGAAAGGTTTTAAGAATATTACAAGGAACTCTTAAAATCTTTCACCTTGGTTCACTGGTTGTTAACATTTACTTTGATCACTTCCTCCCCGCTCCTCCTCTCTCTCCCTCCCTAACCTCCCCCCATCGCTCTTTCAGAACAACTTGTTAGTTTCCATATTTCATGCCCTTTACCTCTATAGATTTCAGTATGTATTTCTTAAGAAGGACATCCACTTAAATTACCACAGCTCAAAATCAGAAATTTTCTTTTAAAATATGTTTTTATTGATTTCAGAGAGGAAAGGTGTGGTGGGGAGAGAGAGAAGTATCAGTGAGAGTGAATCATTGGCTGCCTCCTGCACTGGGGGTTGAGTCTGCAACCCGCGCATGTACCCTGACCAGGAATCAAACTGTGACCTCATAGTTCATAGGTCCACGCTCAACTATTGAACCACCTAGCCAGCTGGAACTGGAACTTTTCTCTTTCTTTCTTTCTTTCTTTCTTTCTTTCTTTCTTTCTTTCTTTCTTTCTTTCTTTCTTTCTTTCTTTCTTTCTTTCTCTTTCTTTCTCTTTCTTTCCTTCCTTCCTTCCTTCCTTCCTTCCTTCCTTCCTTCCTTCCTTCCTTCCTTCCTTCTTTTAATATTTTTTATTAATTAAGGAAAGGAGAGGGATAGAGGTCTGAAACATTGATGAGGGAGAAACATCGATTCAGCTGCCTCTTGCACACTCCCCACTGGGGGTGTGCCTGAAACCAAGGCACATGTCCTTGATCGGAATCGAACTTGGGACCCTTGAGTCCACAGGCCAATGCTCTATCCATTGAGCTAAACTGATTAGGGCTGGAACTCCTTTTTTTTTAGGTATAAATAATAGTAAAAATTCCTACATTGAGGTTTGTGTGGAGTAGGTGAGATATTACAATACT